AATTTTTGCAAAAGTATCAGGGGAACATGAGAATCGGGAAGGTATTCCATTTTTAAACGATATTTCGATTGAGTAGTCATTTACAAAAAAAATAAGCATTATTTTGATTTTAAAAAAATGAATGGAGTTGGGGATTTGAACCCTAGCCGTCGGCGTGCCAGCCAAGCACGCTGCCCATTAGACAACGCGCTGATTATAGAAGGGTAGTTTCATTAGTAGTATATCTTCAATGTATTGCATAATGTTTTCCATTTGAAATTCCTCAAGATGTGGCTTTCCCCTTCCGCTCGTTCTTCAGTCGGCTAAATTTCAGTTAAACAAATAAAAAAACACGAATGGTAGAATAAAAAGTCAAAGTGATCAATTGATCATCGAGTTTTTGATTTTTATTATCTTCTTTTTTTAAGAGTATAATTCACATGGTTATTCTCTTTCAAGATAATTCCTTTGATTTTAAAAGATTAGTCATTGTAATCCGGCGATTGTTGTCACGATAGCATCAACATTTTGATTTTTTTAATTTAGACATAATCATCTGAAATAGTTCAGGACGAACGGATTTACAGAGGTACTTATTGCTTTTTTTATTCCCGGCATTTGTTCAATCATCATCACCCGCATCGAAATTATCAAACTATTACGTATATAGTACCCTCAACCCAGCTGTGCCATTTACTCACTTCATTGTAAACAAATAAATATAATTTCATTGATATATTAATATACACTCTCACTTTATTTGGCACGAGCTCAACGCGTTCCTCTATGTGGAAGATCAGCCTTACTGTTTTCTTATCTCGTTTTAACTTCAATTATTGCACAATTCATTATTCAGTGGTAATTAACGAGCGATGAATTCGTGGAAGTACTCGTCAGTCACGAAAATTAGAGGAAGAAGAGGATGAGCAAGTCCTAATTACAATTTAATTATTTTTCGTTAGCTGTACATTGACGCGAACTGATAAATTCAAAGACGATCTGTTTTCACGGTGACTCGCTCAAGCTCATCCTTGTAAATAAGATAAAACTCGATCGTCCTTTGAATTTAATCCCAGCCCCGGGGGAATAAAATACTTTCGATATTATCCCAAATAAAATGGACAATGTTTTCCCTTCGTCACACCATCTCTTTTACTCTGTCTAAAACTTTACTCTAGATTCTTGAATTTTTTTTTTCGAGGAAATCTATCTATTTTTCACTTATCTATCCAATTAGTATCGACACTGGAGTGTCAGGAGACACCGAGGAAGATTCATTTTTCAGGGGCTCCAGATCACTAATGAGAACTAGGATTGATTAATTAATTAATAAAGTCGTTAATTGGATACGAAATGCTTCTCTTATTTCTTTTCTATTTATCCTGAGAACGAGTGGAGTCAGTAAAAAATGTTGTAGAACTTTTTTGTAGAAGATCTCACCGGCTACAGAAAATTTCTTATCACTTTTTCCGATAGATCCACTCGTTACTCAGATAATTCATGAAAAAAAATGACAAATGCATTTACCGTACCTTTACCACTTCATTAGTGAATTAAATCATTAAATACTGAGTATTACCCAAGAACAAATAATGTCATTCTCGTAATTCCATAATCGTAAATATTGCACACTTGAGCAAACGATCGCTCTCTGAAGCGAGCGCACAATGTCGTGTGTCTGAGATTTGTATAATTAATCAATAGGTACTTTAAAATTCATTAATTAAGATTTCATTCACCCGATCTGTAGATTCATTTGGCACTGATTTACGAGGGAAATATCGCAATCGTTTCTTGTTATTTACAAATAAATATCTCTTTCGTATTCACAGCGAAGTGGAGACTAGATTTTTTTTTACATGGAACTTCATACCAGAAAAATGGTCTCAGTGTTTCGGCTTGAGAAGACGTGATTTGGCACTGGATATTTTCAATGATTCGTCATTAATTCAGCTGTTCATAACAGTGGAGCGTCTGGAATAACCTCTTCTGGTTACAGTCTCACCCTGGGCCTCGCATTCACGTTTTACTCGATCTATTATATCCGCAACGAGCTTCTCCTCTTTCTCCCGCTGTTGCTCCCAATCTGGTCCTTTTCCCAACTGAAAAAATAAACACTTATTAGCAAACAATTTTCATGGGTTTCCGTGGGCTTCACAGAAAAATGATAGAGAAATTTTTTGTCCGCAATTTCCAGCCCAGCAAAAAAGTCCTCTGACTTTTTTCGCTGAACTCAATATTTCCGGACTTAAATCGATTTGGTCTCGAGATATTGAAAAAAAAACAATGAATACTCACGTCTGAGGATCTCCGTGACTTTTTATTAGCCGCCTCCTCCCTGTTCTCATCATTCTCATTATCTGAATGTCTGGAGCTGAGGTGGCCGATGTAACCCTTCCTTGATTTGAAGTAGGCATTGCAGCTGTGGCACTTGAAGAGGGGTGCGGGCTGTGTGACTTGGCTGGTGACATGTAGTTTGTACTTGTGCCTGTACCACCTCGTCCTCGACGGCAACACCTCACCGCACCACTTGCAGACTACGGAACCGTCGTTTTGTATGAGGTATTCCAGCAGCTTGTAAAACAATTTATTTCATTTTCTCTCGTTTTCCCCATTATCTCCCGTTTTTTTTTTTCACTACCTCTGCTGATTATTTTCCACTTTCGCATTTCAAATTTTGTTTTTCTCGCCAATTGTGTTGATGTGACGTGTGTCCTCCGGTTTTATAGTCGAGTGAGTGTCGAGTGTGCCAATAAACTCATATAAATAAATAAATAAATAAATGTAGAAATAAATAGAGAAGGCTGAGGAAATTTGGGAAATACAGAAATAAAAACTAACTCAATCTTTAAATAACTCAGAAACAATCGGAGGTACGATAAAACTCCACTAGAACTTTTTGTAGACAATTTCATAATCTACAAAAAGTTCGGATGACGTTTTGCTCGAAACTCGCGTGTTTCCGTGATATTTCGAGGAAACGACAGGTAAAGGGTTAAGGAGAGGGTGGGATTCTTCAACAAAAAAAATGGGGAAAAAAAATGGAGTGGAGTAATTGGGCTGCCCCCTAGCACTAAATTGTCACTAAAAAATTATTCGTTATATTCGCCAATTTCTCATCCTACGGGGTACGCGAGAACGCCTGGCCCCCCTGGTTTTCCTGTTAGCAGTGACACCACCAACCTGTTTTTTCACTTCTGGCTCGGTGTCACTCGCCTCGGACTTTGGCACCAGGAGTTCCACCCTCTCATCCTCATCCTGATCCGTGAGGAAGTGAATGCCACTGATTCTCTCTGCCTTTATGTAACGATTTGTATCACCAGGTCGACTGTCCTCGTTACCACCATCCACACTCTCGCTATCGGGTACTTCTCCGTTGTTGGGTTGCATTGACTCAGGAATACTATCGTCCCGTGTCTGTGGAGACTCGCAGAGTTCAAAAGTTATCTCCGCTGGAAGGGTTGGAAGCAGATCTGATGGGGAAAGAAGGTTCTGTTAGTCTTTCGAGGCTTTTCAAGAAATGTTAAAGTTGGCGCAGGGATAACTATGCGGGGAATGGCTGTCAAGGAAAACCTGTCGAATGAATTTTATTGGAAATTTAATAAACTTTGAAAATGGTGGAACGACGTTTTTCGCTGCAACCGACGGTTTCGGAAATATTTGATAAAAGTCTTTTCGATAAACCGTCGGTTTCGAAAATTTCCGTCGGAAATTTTCCACATAAAATGATTTCCCACTTTTGACCGTATTCAAATGTTTTGCCTGTAATTTTACACTGGGTTAAAAAAAAAATAACAAAAATGTTTAATTTGTTTAATTTTAATCATTTAATGAAGGAAGTGCTCGTAGATACAAGAAAAACTCTCGGTCGGGTAGACTATTGCAATGTATATCACAAAGAGTTACAAAGAAACTACAATTAGATAAAAACAAATAAGGATATTATCATTAATTTTTCATCATAATTCGCTTCGCCACCAGGCACCAAGGTAATAGGTACATAGGTACATAATATTATACATAGAACACTCATCGATCTCTATTACAATCCCCCAACTCTTTATCGTTACCATCAATGTGCAGTTTATAACATAAATCATATATTTAATTAAATCCCTCCATAAAGAATAATTTTAATATCAAACCTGGGACAATCTTTCGTGTTTCTCTATAATACAAAAGTAGATCCATCATGTTGTACGTAAAAATGATTTAATGTGTTACAATCAACAGACGAAGTGGTAAAGCAGAAAAAAAAAAGTCTAATTAACTCTCGAAGGGTTCATTCTCCGAAAGATATCTCGGAATCCACTGGAAACAGAAAAATATTCACTGGACCTTTTTTATAGGTCTCGAAATTACCCATAAAAAAGGTCGAATAATTTTTTTTCCGATTCCCATTTCTTCACGAGATAATTCCGGAAAATCCGACGAGCTCTACCACTTTCTCAAAAACTAAACCATCTCTTTTTATCTCTCTTACATGGTGACCAGGTGAACGAATTATATTCGATCATGCATAACCCACGAGTCGTCCCCTCAAACCAAAAGAAAAAAAAAACTACCTGTCCTTTTGAATAATAAAAAAAAATAATAAACGGTCGACAGACCATCTCCATGCCACTTAAATCCTAGAATCCTACATTACACCCCTATCAACGTTAAATAAAATATATTCATCATCGTACATAACTTCATTTACCGTGAAAATATGTGTCAATAGCCTTCCTACATCTGTGCATTATCCTACCTCCCTCCAATTACCCAACATTACAAATAAGAAATAAAGAAACTGCAGTAAATAATAAACTCAATGCTGTGATATCCACATAAATCTAGATACCCTAAAGCGAATAAATCTTGAATGTTTTTTTTCCATCTCTAAAATAAAAAGTAGATAAACAAAGGTGAAAGTTAATTCGTTGGTGAAGGATAAAATTATGAAAAAAATGTAACATTAATTTATCCTCGTTTTCGATCATCCACTGGATGACTCGTTAATTCTCTCGTCATAACCACAATAAAGATTCATATATATTTTCATTAAATCACTTTATCAGTTGTGAAAAAAAAACCGCGAGGGACATGTAACGTCGTTTATATATTTAATGTGTAAATCCTCTATCTTATTCCCTAAATAGTTGAAAAATTTGAAAAAAACTTTAATAACTGATATCAATTGAAAACTCGAGGAAGACTTCAATTTTACTTTTTTTTTAAAATTCAATATTCCCTCTGGAAGACGTGTGCACTTTAGAATTTCGATGTTAGTCCCTACCCTGTGCTATTAATAATAAAAAATATATATTTACGTTTAATTGCACGATGCAATGATTAATAAAGTCTGGACGAATTGTCATCGTATTACGTTTGAATAAATTTTAGTCAATCGAGAGAGTAGAAGATATGAATAACTAGTAATTGTTTACGCCCCACGAGTGATTAAATTCGTTATTTATATCTGTTAAATAAACTAGGATATATTCTCAATGAGATAGTGTGCGCCTAAGCTCTATAATACATTTTACTCCCCATGAAAAAAAAAGTAAACTGTACAGAATATAGAAAATACTGCTGGGCAGTACGAAACGTCTCTACGATCACTCGGTTATTTTTTTTTTTTCTCTCAGAATATTCCGGGTTAACCTCGTGCTAGTGACCGAATGATAAGTATAAAAGATTTATATTTCTGGTATTTAAATTCTTGTTTTGCATCTAGCAATAATAGCTAACGTCGATAAACGTTTCGCACCATTGGAATTTTATATTTATAACAGAAGGGGAAGACGTTTGGGGAAGGGTGGGTAATAATCTAGGAACCCTAACAATCTGGGACGGAAGAATGAAAAAAAAAAATGATAACTGAGATAATTGCGGAGGCAGTGGCAACCCCAGGGAGGTTCTACCCGATTCAAAAAATTCGATCTCAAAGCGTCACAGATTTTTTCCAAGTATTTGGATATTATCTCGAAAACCGATGAAAATAGCGCAATATTTGTACAACCTTTTTTATAAAGCAGATCGAGACCTGCAAAAAAGGTCGTACAAAGAATTTTTTATGTCCAACAGATCCCGAGATATTCATCAAGAACCACTGAAAAATGAAAGGATATCAGAACAACGAAGAAATTGACATTTCGTACTCTTCGGTTATTATCTCCTAATTCGAAGGAGATACCGCAATTTTCATAAGAACTTTTTTGTAGCTAATAAAAAGTCCTGTAAAAAAGGTTATTATAAAAATTGAGATATCTCTAACAGATTACAAGATCTCCGCGCAAAAGCAACTGGAAAAATCCAGAATTTAAAAAATAAGTCTATGATTAAACCCTAATACCTTCAGTCCCCTGTGACACCTCGATCTCGCCACCCTAGAACCCCTCCCCCCAATTAACTACCTATTCCCCTCTGACTTCCCTGATTCAGGGTGGTAGATAGAAGCCAAAAGGCATGACGCAGTCCTTGGGCATGAAGCAGTCATGAACTGTCTTCATGTGATTCTTCATTTTGTCAGGTCTTGAGAATTCCTTTCCACAAACGGGACAGGGAAAGACCTTTCTCTGGTGGCCCTCGTGGTAGAGGAAGGCGTGTCTCTGGAAGCTGTATTTATTCTTGAATGTCTTCTGGATATCGAGTTTGGCGCACTCTGTGCACTGGTAGACACCCTCAGATATTGATGCATATCTGAATAGATTTAATCCCCTGACGGACATCTCCGTCAGCTGTTCAGCGGGATCCTGAGACTGTGATGTTGCTCGTCGTCTCATTCGTCTCTTGGGTACTTGTCGACCCGTTGGGGCTGACATCGCACCCTCAGCTGGGGATTGAGGGGGATTTGTCCCAGTGGATGGTGTTGCCCTACCTGTTGCCGGTGATGACGAGGCACTGCGTTGTGATGTCGTTGTTGTCGTCGTCGTGGTCGAGGCTGGAGCTGTTGATGATGTTGCTGTTGTCGTTGGGGTTGACGATGGAGTTGACGTCGTTGGAGTCAGACTTGAGGGCTCCGAGGGCGTTGGAGTCGTTGGTGGACTCGCTCGTCCTGAACTCCCTGAGTCCCTTCCTGTGGTCTTCTCCTTCCACGTTTCTGACATGTCCGATTTATTCGATCCTGGTGACGCAAATTCTGTGGAAATAAAATTTTACGATTAATTTTTTAACGTACTCTCATGATTTATGAAGCAACAAAGTGGCGAAACGAAGGTATCTCCTGTATGGGGGGTTTTACGAGGAAGTGGTAGAAGAATTTTTTGTCGGGAATTTGATTATCGAGAAAAGTGATCTTATCAGTTTTCTCGGTATAACCACTCCTTAAAGAGATAATCCCGACTTTTCAAGACGTAGAGAATTCATGAGGTAGAAATGTGAAGTCGACAACGTCGATTAATTCGTCGGTTATCTCAACAACTATTGGTTTTAGAAGAAGAAGGTGAATGACCTTTTTTGTAGATAACTAAATTTAGAACAAAAAAGGTAAATAGAATTTTCTTCTAAATCCACACAGTCTTCAGATATTCCTCCGGTTACAGAAATAAATATATTTTTTTTTCGTTTTGATGTTCTTGCGTTTCACCACTTCATCACTGAAATAAATAGAAATAAGTGAATAAATTAGAGAAATAATAAATAGGTGATTGAAATACGTATACATATCATGCACTACTCTACTAAGCCTTAACCATAAAAAGGAAGGGTGTAAAAAAATAAACAACAACAAAATAAAATCAAAATTATATATAGCATTCTTTAATAACTGCGCGACAACGTTTTATAGAATATTTATTTCCTCATTCATATATTCTCTGTGCATCCACTCTCAAAAAACCTTGGGATAAAACGCCTTACTACTGCGTTAAACCATAATAAACGTGCACGATATAAAACAACAGAAAATAGCACGTCGACCTACTACGAATCGAATTAAAATAATAAAAGAAAAAAAAACGATAATGAAACATCGACTGAGGATCTCCAAGAGTCTCCGAGTTCTTTGAGGGCTCGGAATATCCCTTCGAAGATCCTCCCACTCATAATTAACATTAAAAAAAAAATAAACATTGCAACGAGCAACAGATCGTCCCAATCGATGATTGAACGAGACGACGCAATTACTCATTGCCATAAATTTTACAGATTAAACTACGAAAAAATTGTTACTGAAGCCTCGAGAACATGATTGAGTCGACAATTTATTGAATTTGTACTGGCCCATTATAAAAAATTTATGATTTTCACATTTGTACTGTATTTTTTCATGGCCACAGTCTAGTTAATAATTACTTAAAATATATTCCCCCCCTCCCCACCCTTCCCACCCTTTCCACAATGTTAATTTCTGTCCTCAAGTATTCGATAAACATATTTTTAACCTAACAAAATTCATAAATCAACAATGATGTAACATGCAAGATATTCTGAATTCAATTTGACAGGGGATTTTTTGTTATTATATCTGGCTGCACAGCCAGTACTACACACCTAAACCTAGAGGATGAAATAAAAAATAAAGATGAATGCCTTTTAAAATAGCAACAACGCCGTACAATCTATCCTAATTTACTATAAATGAGAAAAAAAAGAAACTAAATAAACATAATTTTTGGCTAAGAGCAACGGTGCGCTTCGTAGCGATGGGGTGGATTGAGGATTTCAGTCAGAGTTAAATGACGGGCAAAACAAAAAAAAAAAGACACACTAATGGATTCATTAATGAAAGGGAAAACGTTTCAAGTCAATTCAGACGAGAAATGAAGAGAATTCAAATTTTGGTTCATTTAAATACCGATTAATCTCAGAAACCATCGATTCAACGTAAAAATGCCAAAAGACATTTTTCATAGTAAATTGAATTAACTACAAAAAATGTTTCTGAGGTTTTGCGTTCAAGTCGATCGTTGTCGAGATAAATCGATTATTGAGGTAAAGTGTTTATCCCGTTGGAAATCCGTTTTGCCCCCTCATTGAATCATGAAAAAAGGAAATTATTGTGACGTAGATTGAGCCCTTATTGAGACGAGACGAGACGTACGTTAACATTGAGCTGTATCTCGTCATCGTCTCGGTCTCAAGATGAGTGTCTATTTTACCAACAAAATAATCTACGACACGAAGTGAAACTGTACACAAAACATTGCCTTTAATGCGTTATTTTTGGTGGTGAATTACCTTTGATTAATTATTCAGTGCTATTAGTCGTTGCTATTCCGTCGATTTAAAACAGTTGTTAGTCTTCCAATCTCATTGGCATAATCATTCGGCTGTGGCGTATTAATCTCTACCCATTATCGTAACTACAATGCAAGATTTGATATCCAAGAAAATGAATTTTCACCATCGACAAATGATTTATGGGAAAAAGTACAAATGCCGAACGGATCAAGTGACCAATTGTTAAAAATCGAAAAAATAAAAAGTTACTTCGATAAACAACACCACAATCTGTTTTCACAATAGACTTTATCAATTTTTTTTTTTCTCCATTTTGTAATTATTTATAAACTATTGAACACCGTTCTTTTTTTCATTTATTATCGAATAATTATAATCAAACAATCAGTGCATATAAAATATACTAATTCTACCCAGCGTCAGAAAAGACATCTCATTAGCTAAAAAAGTTCACCTATAAAATGTTTTTTTTACTCCATGTATATTCTCCTCGTATTTTGTTTCTCATTGTTTTTTTTTTTGTTAAATTCTTCATTAATTAAACGTCAAGGTCTCACTTATTTGGCACTAGCGGCGTCAGAGCGCCTATTTTTTTTGTTGTCACTCAGCACGAGTGTTATTCCCACGATAACAATTTATTAAAAAATTTTTTTTCCCGTAATTTTAGTTTTTTTTTTGTCCACGTTTTCTTTCATTTTAAAAAGGCACCAAACTGGGGATTACAGCTAAGCTATTTGGATCCCACTGAAGTATAGAATTTTTCTCATTAATTTTCATTCACATTTGTCTCTCGCAACAGTTTTTCTCCATATAAAATTAAAAGGTCAAACCCCAAAAATTCGTTTTTCTGACGCATAATTTTAATATATATTTTTTTTTTAGATTTTTTGCTTTATCTTTTCAAACTGCAACGACGTTAATAGGTTTTTTTTTTAATTTACCAACTAGCGCTAAAATATATTCGATATAACTTTTGTTTATATATAATATATAATAGTAATAATAATCGCGATAAAGAATGATAAGAATAATAATGTATTGTATTAACGCGTACGCAGTAGGTGTCAACCCGTGTGTTATTGGTGTAATTTTCATTTTCATTTTAAAATTTCTCTCATTCTCTCGTGTTTGTTTCATTGCGGTATTATCTGCCTCTCGTTATCTTAGATGCGATAATAAACTATGTTTTCATCTGTTTCATTAATATATATGTATATTTGATTTATATAATATATATTAGTTCTATCTGATAGTACAGTCTGCTTTTTAAGCCTCGTAATTTGTCTCATTTTTCATTAAATCTTTTACGTCTCTCAATTTTTAAACGTATTTGATTAAAACTCCCGTCAACGACCGAATGAGCCTTATTTGATTTATTGACTATATTTTCCATTTTTCAAGGGAAAAATCTTTATTATCGAATCGATTGGCACGAATTTTTCTTCAACGTTTATTGTTCAATTTTGTATCTAGAGTCGAATCTAAACTAGAAAATTTGTATAAACTTTTAATGTTTGATTCCCCCGGTTATTTGGCGAGGTGACAGGTTCTGATTATCAACGGTCCGTTCTCAATCTAGCGGGGGTGGAACGAGGGATCATTCTTTGAATTTATTTTCCATTTTCAGATGAAAAAAGATGATTTTTTTCTTGTAAAATTCCAAAAAAAAATACACACTCACGCCCGTTTCACCCCAAGACATAAACACCCCGAAAAACCCTTGTGTGCCCTTCCCCGCCGTCTAAAAATTGAGTTAGTCTTAGCCTCTCAGTGATTATCAAAGTGTCTGCGTCTACTTTCTTTCGCTATCTCCAACGAAAACCGGTTATCAGTATTAAAGACTAAGCTGTCTATCCGCTGCCACACGTTTCTGTATAAATGGTGTACACAATACGTAATATTCATAAAGTAGTTGCCTATTAAATGATGCGGTGCAACCTTGCAGTTAGGTGATTCAACAGCTGATTCGATAAATCACCATCGAACCAGTAAAATCAAATAAATCGAATTCAACGTATCCCAATGTTTACCAACACGCCCTAAACACCGCCTTCCCTCGAAATCCCTCGATTATAAAAGAAAACATGAAAAGACCACTCCCATAGAAAATTTAATAACCCACAGAAAAAATTATCTGACATTTTCACGTGAGATGAATAATTTCCGAGATAAATCGATAATTATAAAAAATGTTAAACGCCACTCATTTCAATTAACCACCTCGAGTTTGATATTTTAATTATCAAATTATCTCGACACCTATTGATTTTACGAGAAAATATCAAAAGATCGTTTTCGTCGGGAATTTAATGATCCAAAAAAAAGTTCTCTTCCATTTTCACTTGAATTCTACAGTTTTCGAGATAAATTCGAAGAATGTTGAATTCGATTTACCTTAATTAACCATTTCGTTACTGAAACTGCGACATCTGGGTGAACGGACCGCATGCCCCACCAGAATCAAAAATTCTCATCCTAATCTACTGTAAACCATCCTAAACCCATGGAGCCCCTGAACACACTAGTATCTCCTTTCGACTGATAAAATTTTCCATTTGGTCCGAACGGTTCTACCTTAACAATATTTCCGATATAATTGACCCCAATATTTGGCTCCCATTAAATCGATAAGACTCTTCGAAACGCCCATTCCCACTGTCGCGAAGGATTAAAACAAAATATAACAAATAAACTGGCACCTTTGTTGTTATCAAATAACCGAGATATATCAGTTAAAATGATTCTCTGAGCTCGGCATTCGGTCGAAACTCAAAGCCACGAGCCTACCCCTCTCCAAGTTACATTAACAATAATCAATAGCGTTAATAGATAATTTATCGGTATAATATAGCCTCTAGTCATTAAACATCTATGCCCAACTAGTGAAATGAAATTAAACTCAGAAGCAAAGCTATTGATGAGTTTTCAATAAATATCTCGAAATCTACGACGGATATCAAAATTTTCATTATAACGTTTCATGTAGAACTCTCCGAGAGCTGTAGATCGGGTTATGACGAAAATTTTGATATTGGGCTTGGATTCGGAGATATTCGAAAGAAACTGGCTTGGCAACTGAATTTTTAGTTATTCTTCATCGATCGCCTTCAATCCCTCATTCGCAAAAACCACGTGGCAAAACAGAAATATTAAATCCCAGGGTTTTGCTCGCGTCCTTTCACCCTTGCGATATGTAGAATTAATAATGACGAGGTGAAGAGACATGTAATAGTGCAAAATATAGTAATCTACGATCGTATAGTGCTGTTTTGTTTGTAACTATATTGCCTAAACACCATCGCCGTACCGCAGCCTCGGCCATAAATCATCGATAAAGTTACTCAAATCTTCGCGTATCAAATGCGAAAAAAAAATGGGACGTCAAAATTTTGAATCTATTTTTTTGTCTGCTCTAAATATTATCCAATAAACTACACAACGAATAAAGAAATTGCACATCATAAGGCAATCAACGCGTATAACTCTCGAGATATTATCATCTACTTTGGCAACTCTTGGTTTACCCATCGGGCAAAACTCCGATTTATTACATTTTTTCATCTTATGTACAATTTAAAAATCCCCCAACACTCGTTAATCATTTTGGCTTGAGTTAACAGATACCTGCCGCTGGTTTTCACCCGATATCTCAAAAACTGACAGTTATATCAGGATATTCATCAGGACCTTTTTTGTAGATCAGATTGAGATCCTCAAAAAAGGTCCTGTGAAGACCTTTTTAGATTCAACCGATTTCGAGATACAGGGCAAAAACCAAACTGTCAAAATTCAACTGAGCGTTATACCGATTTGTTTCGTCTCAATGATTCCCTGTCAATCATGGCAACTACTGATTTGTCATTATTTCTTAACGTATACCTGTTAAAAGTGTTCGATTAATGGTCGGGCTGCAGAGGCTCGGTAAACGGCGGTTAAGTTATTACTAAAGTGCCTTCAGTCTATCCAATGTCAGTACTATCTTGTATTTGGTGTCGTTTTAAAAATCGTCCCCCACTGCAGTCTTAAATTAATTGCATATCCCGTGTTGAATTTTGTCCATCTATAAACATTGTTGATGAATAAATGTACGATAATGACCGTTAAATCATTCAAAACGATGACGATTCTATGTAAAACTGTTTAAAACATCTCAACTAAATAATCTACGATATAACAGTGATATCCTCGACAATCAGGCTCAACAAAATGGCGAACGGTACATATATTGCATCTGCTCAGTCTACGTGATAGTTAACTCATACCTCCCCCTCCTCGAACAACAATTGTAAAGTCCCCGTTAATTTTGAAAACATTAATTATCCCATTTCGCCTGTGCAGTGTTTGATTATCGATAAATGTATCTCGTTCCCTCAATATTTGTAAATAAATCTGGCATTTGGATTCGCTCATTAAACGCTATGATCATTTTGTCTTTATATTAAAATTCTCTAAAAATTTGTCACGACAACCGGTGAAATCGTAACTCCACCGATTTCATATAAATTTTCTCCACCAAGTAATAACATTATCATCATTAATTAATCCTTCTTTTTGTATAAATTTTCCGCAACTCCCGGATACGCCGAAAGACTAGTGCGGTAAAGCTCGTTCATTACATTTAAAAAACTCCATTAACTTTATTTGTTTCATCGTTTGTTAATGCCCGTTGACTTATCCGAGTGCCCAATCCCCCCCTTCAGCGTTCCACGATATCCGATATTGACGACAAGATGAGAAAAAAAAAAACGCGTAGCCCCACGATCCGGAGATAGAGACGGAGAGGAAATCGATTCTCAATTAAATAATCCCCCTCACACGAGGATTTGTTCAATTTACCAAGACGAATGTCAAATCACGAGTCATCAATTGACTCCAGCGGGCAACAAAAAAAAAAAACTAGTCGGACTTAATTTCTCCACTAAAAATTCCACATGGAAGATTTTCCCGAGACAATTCTGAGGGCAAACCAAGTCCACACCGTAAAAAATCATAAAAACTTTGCGTTGTTTAAATTCTTACAACGAGAATAAAAATAGGAAAAAAAAAATCAAAGAAAAAGGAAAACGAAAGAAATAACCAACTCCCCCTCTCTATCCACTTGGAGGTGTTGAAAGCTACCTAACTACCTATTCTACACCGACTGTTAAAAATCCCATTGACAGATTGTTTAAAAATAATCTGCCTACCGCTGTTGTCCCATACTGGAGCTACCAAGACTCATGTGTGGCTTCAAACTGTGTATTATTTTAACGTGCGCCACCATATTATCCTTGCGTGTAAATTCCTTGAAGCAAACTGGACAAGGATAGTACTTGACGTTTGGCTTGTGTGATGTAACATAATGACGGCAAAAATTACTAATATGCGTGTACGTACGGTGGCACACGGTACATCTGTAAACATCACCCTCTTTAACGCAAAAATCACGTACTGAGCCCTCAGTTCTTTCGCTCTCAACTTTAAATGTACCCTCAAAGTCACTCTGACTTATCTCAGATTCACCAGTAACGAGATTAAATATGGCACTGCTGAGTTGTTCCTTTGTTGGTTTTTGTTCAGACTCATTGTCAGAATTGTGATTATCCTCGTGTGATGATGTTCCTTTGGTGTTACCAGATTGTAGATTTGTTGCACTGTATTCGTTACGGAAGCAACGCTCAAAGTTAATGCGTATGTGAGCTGGTGAATTGGCACCACTTGTTGATGATGATTCCTCCGCGTCTGTAAAATTATTAACACCTCTCGTATCACTCGTATTGATTCGACTATTAATTTTAATTACTGTTATTCGACCCATGGAAAATATGCGAATGGAGGATTTCAATATCAGAATTCAAAAGGGGTCAAGTGCTAAAGATTATTCCGCGTTTTTTATCAATATCTCGGAATCTCAGGGAGATAGCGTTATTTTATGTGATATTCATTTTTTAGAGACAACTCAGAGCTTCAAAAAAGGTTCTCAAAAAAATTTCACTATCCCTCTTAGATTTCCGGGAATCGGAGGAATATCGAAAATTTAACCATCGGGCAAATGTTAATCTCAACCAATTGGCTATTAAGATTATTTATTACGTAAGATTCATTGCAGCTTATCAGGATGAATCCTTGAACTCAGGAAAACTGCACAAATATCGTTTCCACGTGGATTTTAATTATAGATAGTAGAAACGAAGTGGTAAAGAGAGATAAGGGAAATTTTTCAGGTTGTTAAATATCGATTGATCTCGGAAACTGTTGATTTTAGGAGGAAATATCAGAAGATCTTTTTTATCGGAAATTTTATCAGCTGGTAAAAAGTCCTTTAGCATTTCCATCGTAAATCGATAGCTTTTGAGATAAATCGATAATTGAAGGACTGGTTAGATTCGACTTATTCACTCTATCATTTCGCTGTTTATATAATCTATATTATGTAGTGTATTCTTCATATATTTTCTCAGATATGCGTTGCATTCATTTAAGAGTAGAATAGATTAGTCTTTCGTCGATTTTTAGGTCAATAGCAGAAAAACGTAATTGCCAAAAATTAAATTCAAATATAAGTCTCGAAGATTTCGATATTTTTTGTGAATTTCAATTTGACACTTACGCCGCTCTGTTATCAAGCCAACGTCAACTCCATTCTACATTAATTTCCATGGGGCCGGTATTACTAAATACCGATAATACTTAATTAAATTATTTCGTATATTGTGGGGGGAAGCAAGAGGAAGGGTAGAGCCAGCAAAATAACTAGTGACCGTTGGAAAAAAAAAACTTCTCGACCGTTTCGTATAACTGATTTTAGTTTTGATTTTGAGACACTTGTACTTCAGTAGGGGTTTTCATTACCCAGGCGTATGCGGTGTGTGTACACTTTTCATTTTGTGGAGGCGAAATACTTTTTATCGAAATTTCACACGCATCGACACTCGCGAATACGCGAATTCTCTCTCTCTCTCTTTTTTTTTTTTAAATCATTCTCAGGGTTTTGAGTCGTATACACATACCTCATCTGCCTTTACTTGAGTTTCTGCTCAATTCGGTTAACGGTTTTATCGGTTCCTCCTTCTCTCCGATTTAAAAAAAAAAATAACTAATTAACTTCTGCGTTCGATTGTTCATTGGAATATAAAATTTATTTAGCAAACGGCTGGCCTTCCCTAACCCCTCGCTTCCCCGCGCAATTGGTTTTAATCGAACAAAAGTTGATTTCAATTCTCAACTCACCTGCGGCAAAGGACAAAAATAAATTCACGTTTTTTTTTTTTTCACTACATGAACGCATTTCTTCGTGCTCTATCACTCATTGAATTTTTAGAATAAATTCTATCCAATATAAAAAAATAAACAGAAATAAAAAAAAAATTGTTTCATTGATAACTTTTTTCCCTTGGCCTCTCGCTCGTTATCTCTCTCTCGCATCTCCACGTTCGTAACAATTTCATGGTTTTATTAATATTAAACTGATTTAATATCCCCGTGTGCACAGCCACTCGATAATGCAAGAGAGAGAGAAGGCGGAAACGACGAAAACGACGAAAACGACAAAACACAGGAGGTAAAAAAAACGCCGTTCCTCGTTGCCTCCAGCGCTTTCAGTGAAGTAAAAATTTTTATATCTCTTTCAAATAAAAAGTATGATAAAGATATTGTTCAAATATTCCGTTTGCAGTCAGCGAAGTTTTTTTCCTATTTGTACCATCGCACTTTCATTTTTAACACTTTATCATTATATCTATCTATTTGTTTTTTTTTTTCAATTATTACAGTATTATCATGAACGAACGGATAATTTAACCAGCGTTGAGACAAAAAAAAAAAATTTTTTTTTTAAAAGCACCGCTAGCTGGCTCCACCCCCTCCTTTCACCAGTGGCCAATGGCAGCGAAGCGTTATTTTTTTGTGCAGGGAATGAGTAAAAAAATACTATAATCAATCATTGATATTTACCAAATTTTGAACGATCAAATAATAAATACTACAGGATTTTTTTTTTGTTTATTGATTAGGCTTGATTAATCTGATGGAGACTAATGGAATTATTTGAATTTTCATCCGTTACGCTGCGCATTGGCCGAGCTTTGACGTCACGTCGCATTGTTAAATAATCATTGTTGCATGGGTGATTTGTATTAATATTTTTCAGATACTGGGGTTATGAACTCGGGGGGTTAGATTTCAACGGTTTTTCTAAGGCATTCGGGGAGCTTTTCTCTATTTCATTTCTAACTCGACTAAACCGACGAGACGACGCTGTTATCCATGTTTACAATTATTTATATTGCTCAGAAACTTCACAGCTCGAGGAAGCAATTTTGTTAAAGCTATTATTTGTCAATTCAGTTTTGCTTTTGTCATATCTTATTTATCATTTATCGTTAAACACTTCACACTACATGCAGGGGATCCGCCCCGAACAGAACTTAGTGAACCGTTCACCAAAGTCGCGTGAACATCGATTTGAACATCTGAATCGTGTGATTGAGAAAAAATTTAATCATGCAGTTTCATTGTCACAACAAACACGGTAATTTTCCTGAAATAGAATTCAATCACTGAATGTCGGGTCTCCTCATGCAAAATTCATGGATATCCGAATACTTTGGCAATTTTATTTTTTTTTCTTTTTAATCCTGATCTAAATTTTCAGCTTGAACACCGAAACTTTCGATTGAGACCCTTCTACCCCCGGCTTTCGAAGATTTTTCACTGATTTCATTATTTGAACTTCTCAAGTTCTAATTCATCTTTTTCCGGAGGTTCCAAATTTTTTCCATCAATCATTTATAAACAATAAATTTTACCCTCCAAAATGGTGATAAATTTCACCGCCTTCAAGATATCTCAGACCACAGGAAATAGAATTGATTAATTTATGAAAAACAATTTTTAAAGAATTCTTCCAAGGCTAAAATTCATTCTCCAAAACAGAGACTTAAAAAACTTTCATCTTCTACCCCACACCAACCAGTAAAAGCTCCTTGAATATCCTTCAAAGAACCTTTCCATCTAAATCACCAAAATCAATAACCAAAACTCCTCAACTCCCCCAAGTCCATGTTAATCCAAAAAAAAACATGTTAATAACTACTCTCAAGTAACTGATTAGAAAGATTAAAGACAGAAACAAAGCAGAGCCCTGTCCCCGGATAACGCGTCGGTCTCGTCATGTCCGAGCCCCAGCCCCCAAAGAGAGCCCTGACCCCGAGAATAGAAAAGAAAGAGAGAAAAGTGAATGGGAAAATGAAAAATATACATATATCCAATTGCTTATGTAATTCGCCTCCCCTCGATTAGTGTTAAAGGGCATCTAAAAATACCAAATAATCAATAAAATGATGACTTACCCTGCGCTGAGGTACTTGGCGTTGGTTCCGGCTCCCTTTTGATTCTCGGTGTAACAGGCTCCGGTGTATCACGCTCTCCATTCTCCATGGGTTCACCCTCCTTTCCCCTTATCGGTCCTGGTGTTGAATTGGCAGAATGACTGCCACTATTGGCATTACCATTGCCACTAGTATTAGCACCAGTGCTTGTTTCACTTTGAAAATCAATGCCCATCTTCATCTCCATCATCTCCGGTGATCCCTGTACAAGATCAGACGAGCACGTTTGCAAATCATCCCTCGATCCCTCACCAATTGGTGTATCAGATGAACCACTCAATTTTCGTGGTCTACCCCGTTTTCTCTTTGGAGCTGTCAATGCCGATCCCAACAACGGATGACTCGACATATGATGGAACCTCTTGTGTGATACATTATGAGGCCCAATTTGGTTTATTCTATGTAAGTTTGGTGGCGGTGGAGGTACTGTGTTCTGATTGCCAAGTAGCGAGGATGTTATACTCGGTAAATCACATTTGTCCTCGTTAACTTCGGTCAGGCCTTTTATCCTGAGGGACTCGGCAACCCTCAGAAATGCGGTGAGACGCTCCTGATCAACTGACACTTCACCGCGGTACATAAAGTCCAAGAGGCTACGCATGTCAACGTAGGGAACGTCCTTTAGGATAACTATTGGATGTTTATCTGGGTGACCAACGAATAGGGCCTGCAAAATCAATTATCAATCGACTTATTAACACTTTGAAAATTCAACCTATTTATGTTAGAGAGCAAGTTTCTAAATTCAAGAAAAAGTTTTCTCTAATCTAGATACTTTTTGTATAACGCCAAGACTCTTTTACTCTGTTTAGACTGTGGATAGTAGACATTAAACGGGTCAATGAGTACTTGAGTGCTTTGACACCGATTGCCCTCAACTTGTAATTCAACAATAAATTATAATCAAGGGCCTCAAAAGGCTGAAGGGACAGTAATAGTCATCTGCTAACTGTACGATTCGATTTGACAGTGAAATTTCAATGGTAAAATTCTCACTTTCTGGTAAAACAGCCGCTGATGACTACCTCCATCGGCTATTCAACCTTTTACATTGCTCATGTTAAAAACAAATGATTACCTGAAAGTATGGACTGCACGCCGACAGGACCATCTTATGCGCTTTAAGTAACTGTCCCTCGACAGCCAGTGTGACATCAACAAAGGCCTCATCATGCAGCAGCTGATCGAATACAGAAAGTAAATTGCTCTGATGGTTGTTCCAACGGAGACAAAACCTCTGCGACGCCATCGCTTCGCTTCTCAGATCCGCCAGGTTACCGTTAATGTCCGCTAACATGAGACCTCTAATCTTTTGCGCAATTGCCGTTGCTTACGCCCTTCCGCGCTAACCACGGCCTGTGCACACTATTCCTAATGTATCTTATGCTCAAGACTGTCCACACCAGTATCTTCATCGGCCGAGGCTATCACGTTCCCTCACCAAGTCACCTGTAAACAAATGAAAAATATGTTATTGCAAAGCCCTTGGTCCATCCAAATTTTCATAAAAGAAAAAATAATTAATATAAACGAAAATAAAATGTAAAATATCTTAAATTTAATTTATAAAAGAAAATTTTCTATAAGAACTTCCCCAAAAACATGAAATCCTTCACTACAACGTCAGCATAAGTGAGTAATTCTTGAATCTTTATCATTTCGCTCGAGTTTAGCTGTGGGCGCCCTGCAAGGCGCGTTATACTCTTCAGGTACGTAAAAATAATAGCCTGAGTTGTTGCGGGGAAAATAATGATGAATACATGTTGAAAAAAAAAGCGTGGGTGTACGACCCTGATACCGAGGTGTAGGCTGAATAGACCGCGGATTCTTTCCTTTTACGCTTGCTCGCCCTCTCGTTTCACCAGGAGATCATCATAATGGCTCCTACGTGCGACTATCTAACGCCTCTGACTACAGATGAGATACCCACCCGACACTATCGATCAGAATATTTTTTTACCGATTGCTTGGAAATCCCAGGGAAAAATAATGCCACGGGAAAAACTTCGCCGATGAATTAATCACGAAAGGAAATTGATGAAATCTCCGTTCGCTCATAGAATTCTCAGCGATAAAAAAATTATCTGCATTTCAAAATTAATCATTCAATAATCGACAATTAAATTATCATTTTTTCTTTCAATTGAAGAAAAATAAAAAAAATCGCTATGAATGATAAAATACCCGAGATCGTCGTCGGTGCAGATGAACGAAAATCGTGGAACCCTGAGGTCTCCGGAGGATTGGAGCACAGATTTTCATCTGGATACCATTGGAATCCTCGGAGTGGCTCCCCGATTTCCGTTCATCCGCTTGTTTACATTATTCCGTGTCACCGGTGAATAGTTTCCACAATCTGTACCCCCACCGCGACAATTCGCATCGAGATGAATCTCACTGCTGGGTATCCATACATATATGTATGGCATGGGCTCTCTCGAGGTGCGCCGAGCCTCGACCTTGAACGACCTCGTTAACCCACGGGAGGAAGCACGATCGGTTTCACGGTTAGCAAGGCCTCAACACCGGGCTTGAATATACCTATCTCACTCCAACAAACTGGATATCAATGGCTTGTCTTTCCGCAACTTATATCCTTCCTATATGTATTTCTCTCGCTCCTCTTTTTCATTCCCCACTCAATCCGCCATCATTACGCAATATTATTTCTCACTCTATGGAATTTCAGTGTTTAAACTCAGTGGGAATTTTTCAAATACACCCCAACTCTCACTCTCTACCAAAACTAATTAAAAATAATTACCCATCACTCAATTAACTCAATTTTTCTGCCCCCTCCCTCCACCCCTCCTTAACTCAATCATCCCCCGCTCGACCCACGTGTAATTGAAAATTAATCACGGTATTGCGGAATTTATGGATAACATTTCGCCGTGTTTTATCGACGCGAAAAATTAACAAGACTTTTGAAACAGAGAGCATTGATGCATTGTAATGACTGAATATCGAGAAAAACGTGTCATTTGTCACCATCCGGAATTGCGCGCTATTTTTTTTTTTTGTTTCAAGAACCCTTAGCTTGTTGTTCTCGCGGTTCCCAGATACGTCAACGCCCCAGAGTGAGACACACGAGATAAAAAAAAAAGTCCCGACATTCGTGTTTGTCGAGGTAAAGGAGAAAAAAAAAAAACTCAATTCATTTCATCACGTTGAAGTTTCATTATGTTCGAGTAAAACGGTACTTCCCCTCCCGGAATCGATACCTTTTTGATCCACCGAGGGGGTACTAATTTAGCGGTGCCGCCGGTTTTTGAAGTAGTTTATCCCCCTGGTGGGTCAGAACGGTATCGAGAGCTCAGGTTAACGGTGAATAAACCAAAACTTGAGCATTCCGTAAAATACTGTTTAAAATAAAATCCGGTATTAAAAAATTTGGAGAATTCAGTACCTCAACGAAAATCGATACAAAATTGTACCATATTACATGAAAATGGGGGAATAGAGTACCCTGAAAAATCTCGCATGACACAACATCAAAGGAATTGTTAGCCAATGGTTTTTCCATTGGTACGTGTCATTGAAGCGTTGTCTCCCTCGACAAAACAAGTCCCTCACCCACACCCTCGCGTAGGCAGTACCACACAACACAAACCACTCCAACACCGTAAAATAGACTCCCGGGCATGTTAACTCGGGTGAGTTATGCGAGAGGTGAAGAAGACAAACATATTGGAACGGGGCACCGAGTGACTTAACATCCATAAAGAGTTGGAGTGAGATAGAGTGTACGAGGCCCCAGTGGATTGAAGCAACAGAGTGGCACGAGGAGGCTCTCTCACGGCCACGCATTGCGTAATCGGTATTGCCCGCTAGGTTGGTGAGAAAGAGATACTACATAAACAGGGTACAACGAGTTGGACAAAGTGCCAACTAATGTACCGCTTGATATCCAAGTGAGAAACAAGACAAACCCCTCCTCGTGGCTACATTTTTATCTCACTCCAACTGTGGCTTCACCTTCGACTCCCGCTTCCGCACCGCAGCCCCGAGTGCCTAGACACAGCCCGAGGATATGTCATACGCATCTCCACGAAAAAAAAAAGAAAATAAAAATTATTCAAGAGAAATAAAATTGAATTGAATTCATGGCGTCACGTACACTTGTGCGTGCACGATGATACCCAGTTACGGTACGGGGCAAATAAATAAACATTGTGCAAGCCCATTTATTTTTTTTTTTTTTTTTTTTTTTCATTGTGAAACGAAGAAAAAGGGAGCTGGAGTGGTGGATGCCAATGGTCATCTGGGGCAACGTGTTTTGGATTTGAGAGTGATTTGCCGGCCAGAAGCTCCGAGGGAGCGATAAAAGTAACGAGGGAATTACGCATGCGCTATGGGTGTGTTGGCTAGGTGACGCCATGTTGAGAGTTAGTTTTGTCGGGTATTGTAACAACCGGCGAGACTTATTCAGGGGACCTTTTTTATTCCTTGTCGTTCTTTTTTTCGTTTCGGGGACTGTTGTTTTATTTGGGTTGAGGGGTGATGAATCATCCGACTGCTTCGGATTGAGAGGCTAACTCTCGAATGGTCTGGGAATGGGTTGAGGGTGGAGACGACACTCCGAGTGGGAATTTCATCTCTTTTTTTTTTTTTTGACTTCTATTCACACACCCTTGGAATGCGACTCTTCGATGAGGGGAAATGGGATTTTTTTTTTATGGCGAACGGGGTAGGGGTTGCTACATTCTGCGACCGAATTTCTGAGTATCGAGGTCGCAGCTCAAGGAAGCCAAGTCGATTGCCTCGTGATAGGGAGTGTAAAAAAACTTGACTAGTCCCTTCTAAAATCATTCTATGAACGTGTTTCATCGATATTTTAATGGTAAGATACGTCAATGGTGGAATGCACACAGGGGCGTCGATAAATCGTACTGTACGCAATCATCGATATCTCCCGGTCAAATAATACGATATGGATGAATCAGGGTTAATTTTCAAGCCTCGAAAAATAAGTAAAAATTCCACTCTGTCGATCTCGAGTTATCAATGATTAAAGCCAGTCCGTTAAATCCCACTCTCCCCTATTCATATTCTGACCAACAGTTATGTGGTAGAATGCTTCTGTTGGATTTTTTTTTTCATCGATTGTTGAATAGTTAAATTCTCCTGTTGATTTTATCGTTGATATTTCAATGGTAAAATGCTCACAGGGGCGTGGATTAAAACATACTGCGCCCTATCGTTGATATCTCTCGAGCGAATGATACGATTTGGATGAATCAGGGATCATTTTAAACCTCCAAAAACCCATGAAAATTCCACTCTCTCACTCCCGACTTATTGACGACTAAACCCAGTCCGTTTAACCCCACTCTCCCCTATTTATATTCTCGTCGATGGCTGAATGCATAACATTCTCATGTTGATTTTTTTTTCATTGATAGTTCAATGGTAAAATTCTGTTGGTGTTTTCATCGATAATTCAATGGTAGAATATACCTATTACCATAAATTTTATACCGAAAAAAAAAAAAAAAAAATAGTGAGACGAAAAAAAAAAAAACTCGAATCCAAGTGATATAAGCCCCATCTCGACTCCTCGACACGTTGAAACGGCCTCTCGGATATCTCTCCCTCTTGTCACCCCACCCCTCAACACGAAAAACTGGGGGGAGTGCCAGGATGTGCTTGGAACGATCAACGCGTCGCGTCGCCCAACCTCACCTCCCTCCTACCCCACCCCCCCTTCCTCCCTCTTCCACCTCCCTCCACCCCACCGCGCCCCTTGCTCGTTCTTCCTCGAACCCCGACAGTGTACACGTTCCTCGTACGTGTTTATACCTCTCTATCTCCTCTCCACACAGCTCTAAACCGTATGCAACTCCCTCGCCGACTGTTTCTTTTCATTATTTTTTTTTTATCCTCCTATTATTAACGCCTCTCTCTCACACAGCAGTTTTCCATTTTATTTGTCCCTCGGGGATGTACATCCTCATGAATATTCACGCACAGATGATTTTTCATTCCGTTAGGCTGGAGATATCGATGGATTGTGAAGAGGTAAGTGGTAAAGAGTCGAGTATAATACATAAACCAGGTAGTGAGTTAACGGAGGATTGCCGGCGCTGACTTGTGGCACATTTCAGCTGGTCGGACGGGGAGGTGGGGTGGGGTTGGGTTGGGGAGTATGGTGAAGGAGGGAAAAGAGGGAGGTAAATGGGGAGAGGGCATCGTTGGCTTAGCCGGAGGCGCACACACTGCGTGATGTGTCCTACATTTCACGAGCCTTCGTTTTAGAAGCCCGTGCATTCCTGACGATCGCATAACCCCGAGAAAATCCAGATAAACTGTAAAAACTGTGGGGACAGTAGAAAAAAGAGAGAGAGAGAGAGAGGGAGGGAGAGAGAGAGAAAGAGAGATACGGGAAAAAATGCCGCGAAAATAATTCAAATAATTTAGCATCAATTAGTGATGCAGCTGAAGTTGAG